CGATGCATTGCCGCTGGCTGTAGTAATGTCAAAGTCTGCCGAAGTGCGAATGTTTCTGTTCCGCAAAAGATGAAGCGTGAAGCTTGCTGGTGTCATTGTTTTTGTGATTCGTTGACTTGGTTCATGACAAATAAAGGCCACTGGTCGATTCGAGAGAGAGAGAGAGAGAGAGAGAGAGAGAGAGAGAGAGAGAGAGGAGAAGAGAGAGAGAGAGGAGAGAGAGAGAGAGAGAGACTAGAGACTGAGAGAGTTACAGGGGTTGATGTTAGCATCTGGTGCTAGCTCGGAGCTAACGGAGATTAGCCTGTTTCAACAATAAGGAGAGGGAGAGACTCTCAGTGTGGAACTGACCGAGAGATAACGTCCAGCTCAGGGAGGTAAAGGACCCTGAGTATACTAGATTGTAAACTGTAGGCCTAAGTTATTCAGTGGGTTTGGTCTCTATGTACAACAAATAATTTCCATCTAAATGGGGGTAATAATTCTCAAATAGGTTAAGAAATCCTTCAATTTTTTTTGATTATTGAAATATATTGTTTCAATCATGAGTGGTTGAAGAGCTGGTATCCATAGAATCATCTTTAATGTTGCCCTCAAAGTGCACCAGAATTGATTCACTTTGCGCGCGATCTATCCTGTCCGAAGAAGCTGTCCAAATCAATCATTTCTCATCACTACTAGTATCACTTTCCAAAGTCCCACCATGTTTACAATCACAACACTGGGTACATCTTGGTGACGTCACAGCCACTATCGTCTGCAACTTCCGTTAGGCTCAGACGGTCAAAATTAATAATTCATAGTAATTCATTAATTCGAATTATTAAAAATTATTTTAGCCAATAACAGCAGCCACAACCTGAATGTAAGAATATGAAACTGCCATTTCATTTTGGAGCAAAAAAAATAAAATGCACCTTCACTGGGCCTTTAAGAGCCATTAAGAAACATATCTAATAAAAATGGATACTACGAAACACTCATTTAACAGATAATAAAAGATAATACCATTGCAGTTTAAGATATGAATATATCAATAAATCTAGCCTGAGAGAGAGAGTAGTCAGAGGTTGCAGCGGACCGTGCAGGTTTCTGGCAGTTTGTTCCAAGATAGTTTTGAGCAATAAAAACTGAACGCTGCCTTCTCCATGTTTTAGTTCTGACTCCTGGGGACAGAAAGCAGTCCGAAGATCCTGAAGTGAAGTCTCTGGATGGTTCATAATTTAGCAGGAAGTCAGAAATGTAGATAGGGATTAATTGAGGACTCTGCATCCATCTAAGGCAGCATGTATCGTGTTCTGGCGTCACCTGCTACACCGTGGCACACTGCAACATCCATTTGTTTTTTAAAACACATGTGTTGCCCTGAATAAAGGCCAGGCAGGACAAGGTTAATTTATGAAGCACATTTCATACACAGATGCCCAGCTCAAGGTGCTTTAGTTTTGTCCAATTTTTATAAGACACTCACAGCTACAGGAAAAAAGGCCAACTTTAGAAGGACACCAGTAAGGGAAAATACAATAGTGACAAAGAAAAAAGAAAGATTTAAATAAAATATCAATCAAGGACTAACTGTTAGATACAATATAAAGTATGAGCCATTATTTACAAAATGGGAGGTGCTAATCTGAGATATGCCTGGTAGTTTTTGTTCCAACAGGTGAACAGCATAACCGTTTTACCTATATTCCTATTGACTCTCAGATGAACCAGCCTTACAGATAGCCTCTATGCATTAAAAGTGAAGAAGTAACCGTCAATAAAGTTTTCCTAAGCTATTAACACGGATTCATAAACAAGACAGCAGTAATTCTAAAGGTTAAATATTTAAAGCATATCCATGACTGAAGGATTGGTCACTCACACTTGCTTTCAAGCATGACACGGCTAGAGCAAGGGCAGCTAGCAGCTAATGGATGCAACGGCCTGAGCAACCACATTTCCGGCGTTCACACCGCGCAGTACTTTCCCCACTTTAGTTCCGATATAGTTCCGAAATGGTCGCGTCACCAAAAAGAGCCGGAACTAAAATTAGTTTCATGAGACCTTCTTACCCCTTTTCCGTCCTAGGCTACAGAGCAGGGACTTTTTCGGTGGGAAGAAAAAGGTTCCTATTTCTGATTGGGCTGGGCGGAATTGCAAACCACGCCCCGTAAAACTCAAAAAAAGGTTTTTGTGAAGCTCCCGTCATTTTTATATCCTAGCGCATTAGCATTATTAGCATTAGCATTAGCCCAGCGCAGAAACGCAGAGAGACTAACCTTATGGCAACAAAAAATAAAACATGGGAGGGTAGGAGATGAGGAGGTGTCCGGCGTTCTGGAGATTTACTCGGAAGGCTACCTACTGGAAGCCAGTCCGCAACTCCGGGGGACTTCGCCGGGGACTTCGGGCGGCAGTATACGGCGTGAGTTGTTTGCGGCCTGCCAGTAAACCAAAGCAGATGACATCAGCGGCTTCATTTGCCTAATCCCACCCCCTAGGGACTGGCAAAGGGGTTATAAAAGGTTCTCATGAACTAATTTTAGTTCAGAATTTTTTGGTGTGAAGCAAATTTCGGAACTGTATCAGAACTAACAAAGTGGGAAAAATTAACTGCGGTGTGAACCGCGCCTTATTGGTAAATTTGCCGAACGGGCTAACCAGTGTAAATCTGAGAGGGAAACCCGAGGGAAGGGACCACCCTATTAGGTTCCTGAGTGTTTTCAGCAGTTGTGATCGTATCACCCGGCAATGCAGTGTGTGGGTGTGAGCCCTGTAAAGCTAACAGCCACACATAGCCGGTCTTAAAGCGGTCTTGTTGTTGTGTTGTTTGGCAGTCCTTCACACAAGGCTTGCCATGTGCAACACTGGTGACAAAAAAGCCATAAGCCAATGGTTAGCCACATTAAATCCAGTGGATCGCACAAGTAGAGCTGTTGTTGTATTAATGGACAAAAAATCTCTTGATTATGGGAGTTTCCTGCTTCCTTGTTTTAATATTATATTAAAGTGATTATCCTTTATCAAAAACAAGAGTCCAATTAAAGAAAATCACCTTTTGAAAAAAAAATTATAGCTCTATCTGCAAGTTTGTTTCCAACAAAGTATCTAATCTAAATGCATTCCTGCACATCTTTCAGTGAGTAACACTTAAAAGTCAACATTACTTGTGTCCTCTAAACAACTCTTTGAACTGTACCATGGTGGTATTTTTATCTGTCCCCACTTGTCTATTCTTGTTAACATATATGGGTTAGACACCCAAAACTAAAACTTAATAATAATAATAAAATAATGCATTATTTTATGAGCAGCGGCACAAAAGCCTGTGCATCATCACCAACAGCTCCTGACAACCAACGAGTCGTCCTGATCGGAGTGGACCCAGATAGCAGCCAGACACATGATCTTTTAAATGTGTTGCTAAACGCCAGTGTCGTGTGCCACACATAAATTTCTGACCCAACACGAAAGAGCCTTGTCCTGTTTGCCTAAAACAGTCCTGAGACGCTGAAAATGGTTTTGGGTCCTGAACGCCCATCTCCGCCAGGTTAACGCGGCAGAGTGTGGCATTAGTTGGTGAGTGCTGAGGTTGTTCAAACGAGCAGGGGAAGATGCTGTCATTCCCATTGGATGTCACGGTATCTTAACTGTATACAAAATCGGCTGCGCACCTACACACTTAAAAATAATGTCCGCGATAAATATTTCACGAAATGCAGATGCCACGATAAACACAAACCAAAACAATCACACAGAGAGAAGCACTTCTGCTTCTTTAAAATATTCAAAAAGGGCCTGAATATACATAAATAATAATAACCATAATGTGTTATGACTAGATGTACCTTCGAGGATGGGATTAAATATTAAATGGCACTTTTAAGAAGGGGGCAAGCAGAATCCTCGCCCTGTTGACATGTCTTAAATCAAGCAGGGACAATGGTGCGCAAAGTAGGAGGGGGGGGTTGTACCTGGTGCTTGTTGGAGATGCAGCGAGGTCACTGGCAGTCACCCTCCACTGACGGCGTGGGCCACCTCTTAGCCCCGCGCTCCAACGCTCGCTCCTTCCATTCTGATTGGCTAGGTCCGTTGCTCGTCGCCTCCGTCCCAGATTCTTGCATCTCATGGCTTTGGAAAAACCTGGGAGAAAGAAACCGGAAAAACAGGGACAGGGGACCAAACCGCTGTTGCATACA